ATCTCTTATGCCATCAAGTAATCATACAATACATACCTCTACAGCGGCTCCATAGGCTATGACCTCATCAGGGTCAATACGTCTACATATCTCTTTCCCTACAAAGTACTCTTTCAAAATGCGTTGTATTTTTGGTATGCGGGTGGTACCGCCGACCAATATAACCTACAAGCAAATAAATGACCTAAGTCAGGAAGTGCATGGATAGCACGGGTAGCTCTTATTAAAATCGGGGGTTGCTTTATATTAGTTGGCGAAGAAAAAGAGTTTCACTCCACCCTAATGCTTTGATTTCCATCCTGGTGCGGTGTTGAACTAGTTTCTTTCAGGGCCGTAGCCACAAATTTCTGATTGGTCCGGTTTTCGAGTACAAATTTCTGATTGGTCCGGTTTTTTAGGGTTTTCGGTTTTTGTTCTTTTTTTTTTTCTTTTCTTACATATTTTTCCCGAAAGTTGGTCCGGTTGAAACCGTACCGGTGGCTACGGCCCTGGTTTCTTTTCTAATGTTCATATAGTAGTCCGCGCGCATCTGAATACAAACTGTTGGACAGGTTTATCTGTGAACCAGGGACACATTACTTGCTCTAGACCCCCAGCAATGACCCTCAGGCATCCAAGGGTAAAATTCTGTCGATCGGATACATGTACTAAATTGTGATTGGTTAATTGTTTAATCAGATGGACGTAAAAGAACCACTGAGTAAACAAAGAAAACCTGGCAGTGACCACCCTCGGTGTCTAAATCTCACACTAACCATCTCTCATGCTTGTAAATTGCATAAAAAATGCAATGTGTAGTTCCAGAAATTATCCATACCTGCCCCACAGAGGCAGTTGGGTTTTCAGGGTATATCATCAATCATCATACTCGCATTCTTACGCACCCTCTCATTGGTTGCTATTATTACAACGAACGTTTATTTTGTTTTTTCCCGGGCAAGAAAATAAGAAGACTTTACTTAGGGAGCTTTCCAATGGAAGCTTCAGGACCTGAAAAGCTATAGTAGGAAGATAACTGTGCTACAGTGTACTATAAGGGAACTATATGCAATGGGATTCCACATACGAGTGCTATTGTACATGCACTTATTGACTAAAAAACTGTTAAACTGACAGTCATGTTGTGTATATCCCCTCATATCAGAAAACTAGTATTACCTTGTCAATATCATTTTTGGTTAGCAGTGCTTTGGTCAGCACCTGTTCGATCGTTACCAAACACTGCTGGAATAGCTGGCTGCATAATGACTCGAATCTCGCTCTGAAAGAAGTAAGTAACACTGATGTTACATCGATAGCCATATATCATAGTGGATGCATAGTAAATTTGATGGTTCTGCACCATCACTTGCCTACGCTCGCAATACAGCTTGGGCTGCCTGTGGTTAGATGGTAGAACAATAAAATTCCTTTGCTCTTGGGAACTGAATTATTTATTTTATCGTAAAAAGAACTATGATAACACCGTGCTGTGCTAATGTTGTCATTAGGGGACTCTTTAAAAGATGCATATGACGGTATTTCATGTACTGAGACGTGTACTTTGACTTTTCATAGTCATAAAGTTCTAATTCATCCAGGCTTACCTTGAGAGCTTGGTTTGAAAATCAAAGCCTTCACACAAAGTGTCAATAGTGACTGGTGCTGAATCCAGGTTTGATAGGACATTTTTAATATTTTCAGCAGCTGAATACAGCTTGGCTGTAGATCTCTTATTCGTTAAGGGATCTATCTTCCATTGTCTAAAAATAAGTACATTAGCTACATGATGGCCTGCTATCAATTCACCCCTATCATTAACATGACAACATAAAATATATTWATACAACCATCTAATGCCACTTTAACATCAAGAAATCAACATACTATTAYGAACCAACTCACACCCTACTCATTGCCATCAAATCACTGAGATATACTAGCACCTACCCACACCCTACCATCTTACAACAGACCAGTGCCTACTACATATCAATCCACAGACACCCTATCATCAACCCAATGATATAATAGCACCTACCCAAACACTACCATCTTACAACAGACCAGCACATACTATCAATCCACAGACATCCTATCATCAACCCAATGATATACTAGCACCTACCCAAACACTACCATCTAACAACAGACCAGTGCCTACTATCAATCCACAGACACCCTATCATCAACCCAATGATATACTAGCACCTACCCAAACACTTCCATCTGACAACAGACCAGCGCCTACTATTAACCCACAGACACCCTATCATTGACCCAATGATATAATAGCACCTACCCAAACACTAACATCTGACAACTGACACTTAATATCAACCCACAAACCACTGATATTAGATTTACCCCAAGTCGACCTCTCTTGTTTTCTCGGCGTTTTTTTAATTCGAGCGAAGCGAGAATCTTGCGAGCGCAGCGAGCGAGCGACGAAGTCGCGAGAGGTCGACTTGTCGAACTTGCAGGATATTCATTTGCGTTTCCCGCCATTTCCGAATTTGATACGGGAGGGTCGGCTTTCGGGGGCGGAGCTAAAGAATTGTGGTTTTCATTTATTTGTTTCTTCATGTTATATCCGGAGCAGCAAAACATGTTTTATCAATAATAATGGTTGATGCTATAACTCCAACTAAAACTGTTGAAAGGATAGCGATATCGCCTGCGTCCAAACAAAAAAATATGCTTTCTTTGCGCCAGTCAAGTTCCRAACAATGACTATAAACGGAAATTGTTTAGTCGTCTCCAACATAGGAAGCAGAGATCCCCTTTGATTTTAAAGACGTTACTTGGTCTTTCATTAAAGAGACCAAAGGGACAACAACAACAACAACAGTCTCGAWTAAGTTTTTCTCACCGAACCTCATRAGATCTAAGGCGAATGGAGCGATCTCAAATGTCAGGCTTTTTCCCGCTCCTGTAGGTGCAGATATAAAAATATCTCTGCCTGAAAGAYACGCTTCTATACTTTGTTTCTGGTATTCTCTTATAGTTTCGTATCCTAATTTACTTTTACCCTATGATATGGCCTCAGATATTGATCTCATGTTGTCAGACAGATGTTGTGTTGACAGATGCTGATGGGAATCGTAGAGATAATCTTACTWATCTTACATTGTGATTGACAGCTTGGATTTCGAGCATTGTGATTGGCTATAATTTACCGACTGATTTTTGGGTCGGTAAATTTAGCGGGAAGCAAGGTCGAAAAGTCCGTCGTGCGCCCAGTAAAAAAAAACAAAGCGGGCGGCGGACTTTGCGAAAGTCTACACTGATATGTACACAACCATCCACACCATACCATCTGACAATACCTACTATCAACCCCAAGACACCCATAACACCACCCAGTACATGTATGTACCCACACCCTACCTTCTCACAACACCATACAGTTAACCCACAAACCCCCTACTATACCCTACCCAATGACAACCTAACATCAACAAACCAACAAAGTTCTATCAACCCACTGGCACCCTACAATCTATAACTCAATCAACTTCCATTAGTGTTGACACCCTAAAGCTGTAGTACCATCTAACTTGGTGTAATGGCACTGATATAAAGACATACACAGATGACTTATGTACTTATGCACTTGAACTAACCTTTTAAACTCTAAGGCCAAGTGATTAGCAATTAATTCATCAAAGTTTCTTCCTCCTAAAGTATGATCCCTTTGATGCGCTAGGATTCTGTACATGCCATTTGTGATTGACACTATACTAACATCAGTACTGGTGCCACCTAGACGGTACACTAACACAGTACTACAATCAAAATATTCAAAAAACAAGATTATTTAAATAAATAATAAGCAGATTTAGGTCTAAAGTATTCATCAATTTTAAGGAACTGCCGGGATGGGGGGGGGGGGGGGGGACCCCCAAAAATTCGCTATATGGCTACGTGCCGCCAAACAGTGTATGGTTTTCAGCAATTCTACTCTGGAACAGTGTATAAAAAATCGCGCTCGCTCTGGGACAGAGTATATGAAATCACGCTCTCTCCTCTCTGGAACAGGGTATCCATTTCCGCAATACCAGAACAGGGTATGATTTTCAGCAATCTTGCTCTGGAACAGGGTATGAATTTCAGCAATTTTACTCTGGAGCAGGGTCAGGGTTCAGTGGGCTCAGCGGCACATCCCTACCCTAAACAGACAAGAGTACCCCCTGGGAGGAACTATTAGATCTGTGAGCTCTTCTCTATCCAATTACTAACTCAACATTGATTCCAAAACTTCAATTTTACTTAAAAATTATTAGACATGTATTGATTCTTAAGTCTAAAAAGGTCTTGTAAATCAAAGGAGTTTTGTAATAATTATTACTTATTTATTTTTCTCTCTCTTAACACTATCTTAATTTGGGAGGGGAGGAGAGGGGGGATGGGGGGTGTTTGGTGGGTTCTCATGCAAGTTTTCCTTCATTCCAAAACACAATATGCTAATTATGCCTGATAAATAGAGGTTCAAAATTTGACCAGTAGAGGTTTGGTTTAGTTTGTTTTAAAATACAAACCTGTCAACTGATCTTTCATTTTGAGAAATACCTGCAAAGCAAGAAGGTAAATCAAGATATTATGCAGATCTGCAGTCAATGAGGTTAAGTGGGTGAAACAGTTTTATTTCGGCCTAGTGTGGGGTTTCTTTGAGRATAAATGAGTAGAAAAGCTACCCCATCGACCTGTCAGCCGGCTATTCAATGATTGATTATTGGCTGTCATCCAACCAAAAATCCACCATCATCTCATTAATGAATGAACAACAATTAAAAATAAACAAATTGCTGACAAATTACTGTTTAATGGCCAACAAATGACCTTTAAATGGTAGGCACAAGCCCATCAATTGTATGGAACCACCAACAAAATAAAATCAAGAAGGAAAGTGTGAAAACCAGAAACAAGTTGTTCTTTCCTTCCCATGATAGTTGTCCAGGCTTTTTTCCTCTAGTCAAATAAAGCTGCACACTGCMCCACAACGTGATTACATGACTACCAAAGCATAAGGCACAGTGTAGTGATAAGGGAAGTACTATTTKGCAACCTAATTTTAACACCTGGCTGTACTCACCGTAAGCTAGAATTGCAGCGCAAGGTTCAGTAATCAACCTGAGAACATGGAATCCTGCTGCTTCTGCTGCTTCCCTGTTAAAGAGATATTAGTACATATTGTAAAGAGCTTTTTGATCTACATGGAAAAAGCGCTATAAGTAAATAAATTATTATTGTCAATATTATTTATTATTATTATTATTATTATTATGTTTGCCATTATTATTATGTTTGCCATTATTTTTTTTAAACATATATTATTAGGATTAGTTTTTACTAAATAGATTTTATGGTTATACATTAGTAGATATATTTTTATTATAGTATATTTTATTTTATTTTTCTCTTTTTTTTCTTTTTAAATTTTATTGATTATTATTACAAATATATTTAGATATTGTATATATAGATTTTGATTACATTCTTTGGCTATGACCCTACGATAATGCATTAAAATATCTTTATTTAATAAAATAAAAAAATAATTTAAAAAATCATATACATGCTAATTATTAACACTTTAATAATTATCAATCATTCATTTAATGACATGAGTACGTTAATTCTGTTTGACTTGTCTTAATTTGATTAAGACATGATTAATTTTTAACTAAAAACTTTAAACACGGTCAGCTGCATTTTAAAAATGCACTTAATTTATTTCTAAAAAAATATCCAACTCACTAATTTTAAAGCTTATATTTTTACAAAAAGAAAWATATATTTTGTGAGAGGAAGAGATTGTTACTTTGAAATCCTCTCCYAGGCACCACTTTAAAAAAAACTTGACTAGGTTGAGTCTTTTTTTTTGGAATATCTTAATCGTGTCTTTATCTGGTTATAATTTGAAGAGGTTGTAATTCTAGTGACTTCTAGAGATAAGGGTCTCAAGTTTTACCCTAATGTCTTTCTCTGGTCTTCACTGAAGTCATGAGGAACAGCAAGAACAACACTTTTGTCACCTGCACCAGAATATGATGTCACAGTTTCTGTTGACAACAACATGCTTGTTTTATTGAATGTCTACCTTAATGCCATTTGCATTGCTACGCGGCCACCTCAAACAAAAATCACAAGGTGCACTTTGCAATAGACTGCGGTCAATCAAACACGTTGACGTCATTTACACTTGGCTCRTAAACAATTGACAGGTTTTGGTGCCTTTTAAATCACACACGCRTGTAAATGATGTCAACGTGTTTGATTGATGGCAGTATATTGCAAAGTGCATGTCGCAATTTTTTTCTGGGGTGGCCACGTAGCAATGCAAATGGCAGTAATGGCAATACAATGCAGGCAACAATGGCAGCAGCTAAGATCGATATACATAATTTATTTTACATTTACATATAAGGGCTTCCTAGTGTATATAGAGAGTGTGACAAGTACATGTAAAAGTCCACATTAACAYATAACAAGATAATAGGAAAATATTAAAATTTCTTGCAATTTTTGTTCAAAAGAAATTTTTTTACCAACCTAACATCTTTCCATRAATTTCTGTCAATACTTCTTTTGGAGAGACTGTAATAGATTTGCCTTCACTTTCTGTGGTGTAGTATGGATAATCATCCTTTTCTATTATCTATAAGAAGATAAAAATGTACCAGTTGTCAATGAGTATTTTAATTTATATCCTATTTTAGAGTATTATACTATTAAACTAATKAACACACAAACAACCCAAAAGGCAACTACCATACCAACCACATGTATCACCCTGCCATCAACCTATCTGCAACCCACTGACACCCTAGCCTTCCATCAACCAACTAAYGCCCCTGCCATATTAACCTATCTACACTGTACAATCCACTGACACCCTCATACAATTAGCCTTTCATCAATCACCTAACACCTTATTATCAACCTACCTACAACCCACTGTCACCCTAGTATAGTACAAGTGCACAGTACCTTACAATCAGAGCTTTTTATTTCTTCTTGTACAATTTCATCAGAAAATCTAATATATAAAAAGAGAACAAGTCTATTTTTCATAGGAATATAAATCAGGACTAAAAATAACAACTGCTCAATGACCATCCATGATGACCAGACACAGTACCACATTCACGATGAGTCAGAGTGACTAGTAAGAAGCCTATTTGTAAAGAGGCTAAGTAAGTGGAACTTGGTTAATTTACCGGACATAAAAAGTCTTTTATTTTAAATCATGAGATATGTGATTGCCAAGACACTCCCTAGCCAAAGACTAATGATTATGATACAGTCATTACCACTACATTTAATGTTCTTTAGAAGCATATGGCTTTCAACTCAAATGTTGATATATATACAGTACTCTCCATTTACTGGCTGATACGGGCTAGCTGACTGGCTGATATTGTTAGGTCTGCATGTTTCTGCTGATCAGATTAATAAGCAGATCATCTGTACAATAACTTGTAAACAATTGCATATTCCTGACATGTATTTATAGTAGTTATAGTCCATAAAAAGACTATACATTCTGGAATATTGCAACATTACCTTAAACCAATTACTTTCTTTGCCCGTACAATTGTGTTCTTTGAATTCCTTATTAGACCTTGCTTGGCATGCAGACCAACATTCTTTAAAAAAGGGAAATTACACACATTTAGCAGTTACAGWACTTGTGCTCTTTGGAATATAAATTTTAAAGATCAGGTTTGTACTGGCCACTTTAGAAACAACCAATAGACTGCTRCAAGTTTTGTTATCTGATATTTAGCTTTAAAGCATCTCAATATTTGTAGTAAGTCTACAAGATTTGAACACATTTCATTATTAAAATAAACCAGAGTATTACCGCCATTTGCATTGCTACACGGCCACCCCTGGCAAAAATCAYGACATGCAATTTGCAATAGACTGCTGTYAATCAAACATGTTGACATCTTTTACACGTGTGTGTGATTCAAAAGGCACCAAAACTTGTTGATTGTTTATGAGTGCCACACTCACTAGACATGTTTGCAAATGCAAATGGCGGTAAGCCTTCAAAAGTGTGGAAAATTGACAAAGAATGTATGGTTACAGGGGACAAGCGAGTGGCATGGATGGCATATGCTGCTATTGCTTAAACGTCTTTTAAGGCTGTGAGTAGAACAGGCAAGATCGCAGGTTAGAGCCCTGTACAGTAGATGCCACATGAGAATTGAGCTTGTTTGATCTGTCATTCTCTCCATTGAGTTGCCACAAGGGGTTTTCTATAGGTTTCCTGGTTTTCAGGATTCCCTCCATAAAAATCACCATGTGAGTCAAGTGTTGTGTGCATAAAATAGTAAATGAAGTCATAGTCAGTTCAAGTGAAAGTGGGCCCACATCAGCGAATGCTGCAGAAAAAAAATCAGTCTGCTTTAATAAATAAAAGATTATTATTATTATTGTAATTACCATACATTCTTCAGAGATTTTAGATGTCAATAGGTCTGGTTCTTTTCATCCAATCATGAAATTGAAAGTTGAAATTTGCCACACTTATTAATCTTGAGATGCTTTCTCAAATGACAAAAGTTGTTTCCTAATAAGAATTCAAAACTTGCCACAGTCTTTTGCTTATTTCTAAAGTGACCTACCTATCATTTATTAGTTATTCAAGTTACTCAATTCAAAAGAGTACAAATATTCTACAACATCTGTCATGTACTCTACAATAATTTACATTGTGCATAACGTAGCACTCAGACACAAAAAAAAAGTAGTACTTTTTCCTCGATATTTTCATTTAAAAGGCTCCAGACATGYTAAAACTCAGTCCTTTTTAAGAACAGAAAATAAAATAAAGGTTGGTAAAAAAATTCTCTGATTTTCCAAAACATCTATAAAAAAGTGATTCATTACTGTTCYAATACGTTGGCACAAAAGCCAAGCTTGGGCTCCAGGTGTTTAAAAGAATATGTAAGGTTGAGTCAGAAACAAGGTTTGAATGAGGTAAGACTAATTTGGCTGCATGCAGGGATAGTTAATCAACTATGATGCAGGTCATGTTGCTTTCAATGCATGATCACCCGCGCAATTACTGTAGTATTACTCCCTATTACTTAAGGCTACAGCTAGTAATGTCTATCTCTTTTTATTTCATGAACCCAACGAAGTAGACTATAAACGAATGTAATTKCTCCTAGAAACAGTTAGCTTTTACGTTCATATATCATTCTAGTCTATAGCTATCCCTACCTTTTCTTTACCGGAAAATGCGACAACCGCGGGTGTCACTCGTTCACCAGAATCGCTGGTCAAAATCTCTGTTTTTCCATCCTTAAAAAGTTTTAAAAAGGCATAAATAGACTCAAATGGAATATAAAGTATTATTATTTATCAAAAAAGGACTGATTAAAATATCCAACCTTGCAAACAGCAATACATGTAGACGTGCTTCCAACATGAACACCAASAACTACTTTATCCGCCATCTTGGACGGGAACTGAAACAGGAAACTGGGTCTTGAGGGATTGAGGCTCATTCCCTTACGATATAAACAAACACAGGGTGACCAAGATAACTGATGAATATCATGCGCATAATGTACGAAATTTTTCAAACTATTTCTGCTCGAAATGATGTCCAGTGAATGAACTGGTGAMAACAAATCAAAAATATGTAAACGTAGTCAAACATATTTTTTCCACCTGTATGTGGGGGACGATTTTGATATTCTTTTTGATATGCATGTGCCGCTGGCTGAATATGAAATGCTATCTTTGGTCTTATATGTGATT